GCTCAACCATTTATCTGAAAAATTCGTACATCCACTAATGAAGGAAAACCGTCGGAACAACAACAAGACAGATTTCTACGGACAGCGTGCTTTCAACTTTTGAATCTGAGACTTCCGAGACTGTGGACTACTCTATGTCTGCAACCGCCAGCGATGAAATACGTTCAACCACTCCGCAAGCAACTTTTTCCAACAACAAGCATAACAGAAAAATCAACGTTGCCGTGGAGGGCTTATAGCTCAGAAGCCACATTAAGTGCAAGCGTCGAGACAAGTGAAGCCGAACGCACCACTTCGAAGGAAAATAGTCAAGGATCCACAGTTTTTTCAACAGCAACTTCTTCAGAAGGTGTCAGTGTGAGCAGTTCAACGACGGAGCGCTCCTTGGAAGCCTCCCAAAAGCCTTTTCGCTCAAAACCAACGCATAATCCACACCCTCTCTCGCTCGATCGCTTTCTTCCAAATGGAGAAGTTGACCCAGTATAGCGCCTGCCAGAATTTCAGTTTCATCGGAGGACAACACGACTATTTACTGAGAATCTCTCGAGCACGACGACGACTTCCACATCAATGAGAACCGAGCAAAACACCGCTACCAGAAGCTCACCCCAAGCAAGCACAAGTTCGCCTTCAGGATTTTCAGCACTAACCGAACTCTTAACCTCTACACCAGCAAGCTCTTCGGCAAAGACTACGGTTGCATCAACTGCTGAGAAAACAAGCACTACGGACCATTATACAACAAAAACTCCAGCCCAAAATACACTGACACCGCAATGACAAGCCTACGCCAACCCGAGCCTTATCAGCTTCACTCACGAAAGACATCGCCAGTTGTCGAAGTCGAGAGCACACCTACATCAAACGTTTCGTCAGTGACGGAAGCTATACCATCGGAAACGAATGAAGCAGTTGTGGACACGACAGGATACCTGAGCCCAATCTACGCACTTTCAAGGCAGGCTACACGAGTTGCACATTCTCACATTACAGAGTAATTTTTTGTGCTTTGAATCCGATCCGGAAACAGTTCCAGAAGTCCTTTGGGCAAAAGTGAAGTTGAATACGGAGAAGTTTCAGTGACTGCTCTGTCGTCAGAATTTTACCCTCAACGCTACACTGAAGGATTCACGGAGTCAGAGAAGCCTACACTGACCGCCCCCTACAATTGTAAAGCTGAAAATTTTATCTGTTCCTATCTGTTGCTTTTTCATCAGATTTCATTAGCCACAATATACGGTATGATGCGGGCTCTGGTGTTCCGCAGAACCGTGATCCTTCTCCTTTCAGATCCTTTTAGAATACATACTTAGACAGAAATGAGTTTTATTGTCAGTGCCAGCAAAGCGGGGGGGGGTGGCCCAGGGACGGGCCGAGCTCAGAGAAACCGGTCGGTTTGTCCGAAGAGACAGGGCCGCCAGGCAGGGACAGCTCGTCCCTATGTACCATAGAAAGACTTGCTCTCACTGCCTTCGTTCCGTGAAGGTAACGATTGTCCACCGAAGCCTGTCACCAGGATATTACATCGATCAGTCATCCATTTACAGCGCTATACAGCAGGACTACAAATGTGGCAACCTCCCCGATCGATCAGGTAATTAGGCCGAAGCGCTCAGAAAAAAAAAATACATAGAAAAATACTCATAAGAAAATGTGCTGTTTCAAGGATGTGTCGACGTCTATCGGCTGAACTGCAGAGAGATCTGTACTGTATCCTAGATGAGAGCTCTTACCCCATGATTGCAAAAAGACTCTGAAAGTAAAACACCCGACAAGGTAAGCAAAAGGAAAGAGTGCACGGAAGGCTACAATAGTCGATGATGAAGGAGACTGTTTTTCAATAAGACAGCACAAGATCAGTACGACAACTAGACAAGCCATCCAGGCAAGAGCAGCGGCCGGGGTGACGACTACGTCGACGGATATAGTCAAGAAACTCCGGAATCCCGCTCAACTCTGGTTCTTAGGAATGACGACAACGTCCATCTCATGGGCTTGGACGGAATCGACGTTGTGCACCTTGAGTAGAGGGGCTCCAGAGCGGCGCTGCTAATGTCCTTATTAGAAAGTATTAGTGCTACAGCTGATGGAGTATACGCTTTTTGCTGATAGTGCGCAGACGAACTTCTTACCAGCAGCGGGCCTCTGCGTAACTGTTGTCATACTGAGTCAGTGAAAGCTGAGAGTGATCACGGGGGCGAAGCAAGTTAACCTGCTAACCAGAGTGCCAGTGGGAACAATCTGATAAGGCAGTTCGTTGATGGCGTTATGAACACTGAAGGTGGTGACAAGCGGGCGGGCCAAGGGAGATCTTGTCGGCAGCTCCACAATTCCTTTTCTGCCAAACCAAATCGACAGCTATGAATAGGTGCGAGGACAGAGAACCGTGAGCGCCGAGCTGATTCGTCGTCATTAACAACGTTTGACGGAAGCGGGTGCCACGAGACTCACAAAATCGGTGAGGGCCTATTGCGTTACTTGATCCTCGGACAATGACGTCACAATCAAAACGAATGCGGAGGGCGGCAGCAGCAACGTAGACATTACAAACATATAGAGGAATCGAAGGCGGAGCACTACTCAGGGCATCGTTGGTTGGGGAATCCCCAACAGGGGGTCGTATTTGGCCGCCAGGAGAGGGGGGTCGTAATGAGTGCGGTAGCCAGTAACGAGCAGCGCAAAGGTGTCAGTGTGCTGAGTCCTGTACAGCGAAACTTGCTTTTTAGAGAACTCGGATGTAAAAAAAAATTGTACAAAACTTTCATTCATCAAACTACTATCCGAAATAACTGGAAATATTAATAAGTCGACATCATCTCGTAAGTGACTAAACAGTACAACTCATACTCTGGTTCGCTGCGGATGATGGGGCGTGTCCGCGATCGCGCTTGGCGCTGAGCCAACCTGTTTTTTCGACAAACGACAGGACTACTATACGAGTCGCTATCAGACAGTTTTCCAGCAGTTGGGTCCTGATATCGGAATCAGCAATTGGCGGAGCACGAATCTGGCGGCGTCGACAGGGACACGCTCCATCATACGCAACGGAAAACACTGTAAACAAGTGCACAGGTTCGCCATGGACCTCCCTGAACCCTATAGACACATTTGCTCGCGTGGACAGACATTACGCACAAATTGCACCATCACATCACCATCTGAGCGCCATCGAAAAGTTTAGCATGATTGGCGCTAAACAAACCACATCCTGCTCCTGCTCCACCACAGGATACGTTCTACATGTATTTCTGGTTATTCGAACACGCTCGCTTGAAACCGTACACAGAAAACAGACTTCTTTCGAACAGTTCGGAGTGTTCCCCAAAAAATCCCCAACGCAATTATCTCATGAATCCCGGAAACTTCAGAAGCAGTTTAAGTAGTTTTTGGAAAGAGAAAACCTTTAGGGCACTGGTTCCAGATTTCCAAGTTGAGCACGTGTCAAAGGCGAAATATGAAACACATGATGGCTGCAGACAACCGTGCGAAAAGCCGTTCAGACGATCCCTATGCAGTAGAGGTGCATGACGCTCTCTTTGCACTAGTGTAGCCCAGACATTGAAGTTTCCACAAGGGCCTGGACCCAAATCCATAGATCTTTGGATAAAATCCTGGATTACGTCGAGTAAGCTTCGAATGCTGTATGCGAATATACAGATTTAAAGTGCAACGAAGTCCTCCGAAGGAGTTCTGGGTAGTCAGAGATTGCTGCAACTGCGGGTGTGCGCAAGTCTGAGCATGCGTGTAGCGTGCATTTTATGCAGTGCCAAACGTGGCCATGTGCGTATGCTCTTCAGGTGCAGAGAAGAGGTACGTCTTCCCCCGTTGAGACATTTTTTTTCGGAAAGAATATTTTTGCTTTAGCCTCGATAAGAGCTTCCACTACGCATTTTTTTGCCACTTCTCCAAGAAAAGTAGTAAGTAGGTCAAGTATTTGGCGCGGCAGGTTAGATATAGGTGTTGGTCCCCATCTACCATTTGCTACCTGTAAAAGGGATGTGTATCAATTTCGGAAGGCTAGCGAAACATACTGAAGATTCGATGTCTGTTTAATGCTGGAAATGGAACCTTCAGCGCAAAATGAGCTTGTTTGAATTTCATATTTTCAGTGCAGATTAATAATGTGCGGGTCAGCGTAAGAACTATCTGCGAACCCGTTACGTTTTTTCTCTTTCCGAGCAGTTCTTTATCTATCCATTTCAGCACGCCTAGCGATTCGCTAAGCACCTTGCAACGGAGTCCGATTTCCTGCCCATCATCTTTTTTTTGTTGCGAAGGATCTGCTAAAACATGGCATCATGTCAGCGGAACAGTTTTTAAGGGGGACTTTCAGACAGGGCGCTTGGCAACCCAAAACGTTGGCAATCAGTCACGTGTACGATTTCGAATGAGATATGAGACAATGGCTTGCGCTAAAATCATTCCTCAAAAAATGTTCAGCGTACACATGAAATCACTCCCTCGACAGCTAGTGAAACTGCATTGTACTCTCTAAGATATGGTACGACTACGACCACCGAAAAAATCACCGAGACGACGCAGGAGAAGGGAGGAACGACAAGTGAACCAACATTCAGCACTAACCTTTTCTACAACATTTAGTATGAAATGAGAGGGACTGCTTTCTCACAATCAGCTGACTTTCAGGCACATCCATTCGTTCGACTACAAGTACCAGCTCGACACTGCACCACCAACAAACACCAGCATATCATCAACAACAAACGTTACCGAAGAACACACAGAGTCGCAGCAAGCCGAGCAGTCTACAACAAGTGAGTCTGCCTTTTCGTTTAGACGTTTCCCAGACTCTGAAGTTTGAAGTACCGTGTCTTCTCGAGTTGCTCAGCACAGTGCAAATTCACCACTAGAAATGAGTGATCTTAAACTGGGAAAAAAACAAGAATGAAGTGAAGCTACACTCCTTTGAAACCTCTATACCGCTGCTTACTGTGTTATCACGAGTATGAGGGAAGTTCATAGAGATCAAGTTCTTTCAGATGCAAAGTTGGCTCATCACAACTATGAGTTCCTTACCACTCACCACAGATATGGCCGCAACTACTAAGACCACTGAAGTAACCAAAAAGGAGACGTTCACCAATGATATTTCAACGAGTATGTCAACATGCAAACTCTCCTTTGCTCGTGTAATAAAATTTTAATATTCTGTTTTGTCCTGTGATGGTTCCAGGCGCAACGGTGCTGACCACAAGTGCCAGATTTTCCACGAACACCCTCACCACCGAGGAATCCGAAGTTTCGACTGAAGGCGAGCAGAGTACCGCAGGTAAGCCAAGAATAAGGAGGAGGTACAGAGTCCTGACTCTGAACATCGTAATTATAAAAAGTGTTTCGAGATAATCAAACAACTGGGTTGGTCACCAGTATCGAATCAATAGCCTATCCACTAAGTAGTACGACAATCTCGACCAAAGAGTCCACTGTTTCTACAGAAGGTAAGGAAACTTTTACAAGGGAGCTGAAACTCTTTGATCCAGGCTCGATGTGCTGAAGCGATCTTTAGATCCACAGTTTTAACATCGTTGTGAAAATACAATGGTTTTCATAGCAAATGGCATCTATTGTTTTAGGTTCTCCCACAGTCATATCAACTACCAGTACAGGGTCAGAGCACCACCCACTGAGCAGCGAAACAAGCCCCACCATGGAAACTGCGGTTTCGACACAAACTATGCAAGGTGCAACAGATAAGCATACACCACCTTACTCCAATATACTCCAACCTCACTTTGAACGTTTTCAGGTCTCACTATAAGTACCGCAACATCAAGACAACTTCCAATAAGCACTGACGCAAGCTCCATCGAAACAAACCGCTGTGGTCGTCGCAAATTAGTGAAATTACAACAAGTGATCTACTTTATTTGCGTTTTTTTTCTTGAAAAAATTTCACTACGCTTATGCCCCTTATTGTTGATGGTTTAAGGTCCTAACGCAACCCGGCTGACTGAGGGTTCCGGATCATCGAAATATTTGTTGAGCAGCGGCACAAGTTCCACAAAAGAGTTCTCGGTTTCGACACAAGCTGAGCGAAGTGTGATAAGCAAACAGATATTTTATCCTTCCGTATAGCTCTGGTATTACCAGTTGGAGTGCTTTCATTCCCAACATTTCTAGGTTCTACCACAACTAGGCTGACTACCAGTGCCACTGAAGCAAGCTCTGCACTGCTTTCGACACAAGGCCAGGAAATTGCGATAGGTAAACTTAAAACCTTTCCTCACGGTTCTGATATTATGCCTTGGACTTTTAAGCATTTGGCTGCTTTCATACTTTGCGACCGCGTCCTCTTACGCCGCAGCGCAGCGTAAGCGCCAGCGGAAGAAAAAAAAAATAAAAACTGCAAACTAGCGATCTAGCGTCTACGAGGCTCGTATAGCCTCTGCAGCGATTCACTAGCGACGGGAGTGTGTAGAGTACGGAGGAAATAGGAGGGAAAGTGAGCAGCTGGATTAGGCGTCGCGAGATTGCGGCGTGTGCAACCAAGCACAACTGCTAAAGCAGAATTACGAAATTCAATGTACGGTGGTTCAGTTGTAACGAAACGGTTGCACGAACCACAATCTCACGACGCCTAATCAGGCTGTTTGCTACCCTCCTATTTCCCCATACACTACTCCCGGACGTTGGTGGACGCTGGTAGACGATAGCAGACGCTGGTGGACGCTAGATCGATACCTAGGCTTCCTTAGCCCTCGAGACGCCGGCAGACGCTGGTGGACGCTAGCAGAGGCCGGCAGGCACTAGATCGATGTTGATACCTTCCTAGTCTCTGACGCTCACGCTGCCGGACACTCAAACGCTAGTGGAAGCTGGTAGACGCTGGTGCACGCTGCCGCGCAGTGTGAACACAGCTTTCCGTAGTTTCAGACTTCTCAACAGTCTGGCCAACTACGAGTACCAGGCCAATGCACCAACCATCAAGCAGTGAAACAAGCGCTGTCGAGAAATCCACGATGTCAACGCAACTCAAGAACACTACGATGAGTGAGTAGCTATTGGCGCTGTCCGCCTCAGAGGGAGGTATTTCTCACTTTGGCTAATTTCCCTTGCTGCACAGGATGCGTTGGCAGTAACCTGTAGGAACCAGCAATTTCCCATCGCCTCCCTACTAGGCCAAACTGCGCATAGATTTTTACTCTGTGCATGGCATTTCAATGTTGCGAACTGGACGGAAGCCTTCCAAATTCTCACGTATTTAGGCTCCACTACTTTACTGATTGCGAAGACTGAAACGGTAGAGCTTTCATCAAGCAGTGCCACAAGCCCCACAATGGAAACAACGGTGTCAACAAAGGCCGATCAACGTGCGACAAGTCAGCTGTACTCTTTTCCCATTGTGCTGGTGTCCTCTCAACCTTCAGCGTTTACTTGCTTTTGTACGGCTAACTGCTCATTTTTCATCATAGTCCGCATTCCGACTGTTATTACGGGGTTGCCACTTGTGGCTAAAACTCTTTGCTTCGGCTGAAGCTCGAACTGGAGGATCTACCTTCACAGTACTAAGCTTTATACACACAAGTTTAGCTAGCACACACTATCCTATGCACCTCACTAATTGTAAGATGAAGTAGTGCTAGCACGTGATGTACAGTGAGCAGTTTCAAGAGCTCTCCTTTCGTTCATTGCTTCCTCATAAACCGTCAAGTTAGGCTGCGTTTATACTTTGCTGGCCAGCCGTAGCGTAGCGCAGAGCGCTTTCAGCGTACGCCAGCGCCAGCAGCAGCGATATCATCTAGTTCATCAGCTTCACCAGGGTTCACGTAACGCCAGCCGGCACGCTAGCGCAAACGCCAGGTGCCGCTGGTGACGCTGGTGAAGCTAGATCGATATGCATCCTCTCTTCGGCACTGCCGCTGGCGTACGCTGGAAGCGCTACGCCACGCTGCCGCAACGTACGCTACGCTACGCCGCCAAATATAAACGCAGCCTAGCTGTTGAAGCGCCTCATGACATGCATCCCAATCCCCTACGCTAACTACTGAATTCATATGTTCCATACTACTGAAGCGTCCTACTTCTGCATGCACACCATGAATTCGGTGATTTTACCTTTCTAATACCCTTATCAGCAAGATCAGGTGTTGTCAACCGCTACCACCCAACATTACTGTCACTTTCACCTATTAAATATCTTAGAATTAACGCCATGCTGCTAATGCCAGTCGGTCTTCGTAGTCCCATTATTGCTGTGACGAGTGCTATGGTGACGTTCATCTTATGACACCTCTTTTTACATCTTATCAACTGTCGTCACTTCCTCTGATCCACTGTTGTTCCTTGCCACTAGCCTACATTCCTTACCGGAACCAACATCACTCTGTTGCCTTGATTTGCGCCGCTATGAAATTTCTGATCCCCCTCCCCCCAGCTCCATTCTAAAGCCTTTCAATGGGTCCACAGTTGCTGTCAGTTACTGTCACTCAGTAATACATTTACTTTCCTGCCCCCTATCACTTCTTGGAACAAGCTTCCCACTACGAATTTTGTGGCAGACATACAGACAGACAGGGCGACAAACAAGCAGACAAACAGACAAACAAATGAACAAACAAAATAAAAAGACAGGCAGAAATACAGGCACAGAGGGGTAGACAGACAGAAAGATACATCCACAAGCACGCAAGCACTTGGTATATTATACAGTAAGATAACATGCGAGACGTGCTGCTAAGGTTTCCAGTTAGCGGTACAATGAATAGCATGAACAGCGGCTAAGGTTGAGAGTCGGGTGCTGGCAAGCGCTTCGACCATTCATCAATCTAGAACTCGTATTTTCAGGTCCTGGTGAAACCCGGCTGACGCCTACTTCTAGATCAGGACAGCAATCAACAAGCAGTGACACGAGACTCACCACGGAATCCGAGTCTCCCTCTCAATTCGAGGAGTTCACGAGTAAAAAATCAGCCATTTATCTTTGATTTCATTGCCGTGAAGTGGAGAGAATTGCCTCAATTCTTTGAGTTCATAGGTTTGCTCACAAGAAAGCCGAGTGTCAGCACAGGATTAGCGCACTATTCATCAAGCAGTCTGAAGAGTTCTACCGAGAAGGCACAGTACTCAACGAAGGCCG